GGCCTGCGCCCCGGTGCTGCGCGGCCTCGTCGTTTTCTGGCGTTCGTGCGGCTCCCACTGCGCACGCGTGCTCGAGGTTTGTCTCCGCCCCTTGCCCACACGCACGCATGCGCACTAGCCCTGTCCAGCGGTCGCCTCTCTCCCTCTAGGATCGAGCCCAGCCTGGACTTCCCGGTACTGCTGGTGGAGAAGCTGCTACAGGAACATCTGGAGGAGCAGCAGGCCGCGCCCCCAGGTGACCCACGCCTTGTCCTCGCCAGTCTCTGAGGCCTTGAATGCCGCTCCCCAGCCGGGCCTTGGGACACAGCTGTTGCCTGACCCTGTTTCCCTGTCCCCAGCCCTGCCGCCCAAGCCCTCCAAGGCGAAGCCGGCAGCCCCGGGTCTGGCCAACGGCGGCAGCCCGCCCTCCCTGCAGGACGCAGAGTGGTACTGGGGTGACATCTCCAGGTAGCGCCAGGGGCCAGCGGGCCGGAGAGCGGGGTCCAGGCGCTGGGTGAGGCTGCGGCTTAGCGTGCTGTCCTCGTCCCGCAGGGAGGAAGTGAACGAGAAGCTCCGTGACACGCCCGACGGCACTTTCCTGGTCCGCGACGCGTCCAGCAAGATCCAGGGGGAGTACACGCTCACCCTCAGGTGGGGCTGCGGGGCCTGGTGGGCGGGGCCGGGCCGGGTGGGCGGGGCCACCCACGCCTGGCTTCCTCCAGGAAGGGCGGCAACAACAAGCTGATCAAGGTCTTCCACCGCGACGGCCACTACGGCTTCTCTGAGCCGCTCACCTTCCGCTCGGTGGTGGACCTCATCACGCACTACCGGCATGAGTCGCTGGCTCAATACAACGCCAAGCTGGACACGCGGCTGCTCTACCCCGTGTCGCGGCTGCAGCAGGACCAGGTGGTCAAGGAGGACAGCGTGGAGGCCGTGGGCGCCCAGCTCAAGGTCTACCACCAGCAGTACCAGGACAAGAGCCGCGAGTACGACCAGCTCTACGAGGAGTACACGCGCACCTCACAGGTGGGACCCCGGGGAGCTGAGGCGGCGGAGACAGGAGGGTCGCCTTGAGTTCAAAGCCAGCCTGGGCTGTGTAGCGAGACCCTGTCTCCAAAGAGAGAGCTGGCGTATCTTCCCGGCAGAATGAAAAGCATCCTACCCAGCGATCCTTGCACACTCCTGTTCATAGCAGCAGTGTGTGATAGCTAAAGCTTGGAAGCAGCCCAAATGCCCATCAACAGACATCAAGTGAGCCGGGCGTGGTGACGCACGCCTGTCATCTCAGCACTCGGGAGGCTGAGGCAGGAGGATCGCTGTAAGTTTGAGACCAGCCTGGGCTACACAGTGAGTTCCAGGTCAGTCTCAACTACATAGACCTGTCGCAAAAAACCAAAATAGACCTCGAGTGGATAAAGATGTGAGTTTTTACACAACGGAGCCTTACTCCGCCATTGGGAAGGGTGGGCTTAGACATTTAGAGCTCAGCGGATGGACCTGGAGACCATCCTCATCTGTGTGTAAAGATCGCACTGCTCCTCTGATGTGAGGAACAGAATGTGGAAATAAGGACCAAGATGTGCGACAGATGTTAGGAAGGGGACGGAGAACTGGACGGGGGACGGAGGAAGGGAGGGTGTGAAAACTGAAGGAAAAAGGGGAACAGTTTCTGTCCATGAGGGCAGGGGCTTGAGGGGAAATGGGGTAAAATTAAATACTTCTAAAGAGCTGGGTGCACAGGCACACATGTAGAATCACAGAATCGCAGCCCTTTGGAGGCTCAGGCAGGATCAGAGGTTCGAGCCCAGCCTGGGCCATTTAATGACTTGGCAAGGCCCGATCTCAAAAAACCAGGCTGAGGATGCAGCTCCGTGCAGAGGCCCTGGGTTGGATTCCCAGTCCTACAAAAAACAAAAGCAGCACTGTAGTCTCAGGAATGACTGAGCCCGCAGCCTCAGTTTCCCCAGTGACCACTGCAACCCCGCGGGGGCTCTGGGAAGACCCCATGAGGCACTGTGTGGGACGTACGGGGTGCAGGGTCTGCCCTGAGAAACAGCCCCATGAGTCACAGCAAAGACTCACCACCCTTCTCTTGTCACGGAGGGCGTGAAGGGGGCGGGGCGGGGTTCTGAAGGCTGTGTAGGAGCTCCTGCCGCGAAGCAGGCGGTGGGGTTGAGTCCGCCTCGCTCCTCCCAGGAGCTGCAGATGAAGCGCACAGCCATCGAGGCCTTCAACGAGACCATCAAGATCTTCGAAGAGCAGGGCCAGACCCAGGAAAGGTACAGCAAGGAGTACCTGGAGCGCTTCCGGCGCGAGGGCAATGAGAAGGAGATGCAGAGGTGAGTGGGCCCTGGGCAGGGAGGGGGCGGCGGCTGGCGCTTCCTTGGCGCGAGAAGGCAGCCAGCAGAAATGGGCCTTGAAGGCAGAAGACGAGTTCACCAGAGCGACATCGCGCTGCGGTGCGCACCTGGGCTTTCTTTTGAGCGGCCCCTCCCCCAGGATCCTGCTCAACTCAGAGCGGCTCAAGTCCCGCATTGCCGAGATCCACGAGAGCCGCACGAAGCTGGAGCAGGACCTGCGGGCCCAGGCCTCGGACAACCGAGAGATAGACAAGCGCATGAACAGCCTCAAGCCGGACCTCCTGCAGCTGCGAAAGATCCGTGATCAGTACCTCGTGTGAGTGTCGCACTCTGCCCGCCAGGGGGCGCCCGTGCCCCGTCCGGCTCCACCCCACCCCTCACCCCCGCCCCTGCTCAGTCGGGCCCCGCAGGCCAGCCCTGCTGCCTGGGAGGCTGAGGCAGGTAGGTCTACAATTGGTGACCGACCTGAACAACTTTGTGAGACCCTGTCTCA